CCAAAGCCTTTACTGCTGCTTTTTTCCCCTACGCTCTCTCCATTCACTTTTATTTGACCTCCCTCTCTCTCTCTCTCTCTCTCTCTCTCTCTCTCTGTCTCTCTCTCTCTCTCTCTCTCTTTCTCTCTCTCTCCCTCTCTCCCTCTCTCTCTCTCTCTCTCTCTCTCTCTCACTTTCTCACACATACAGTCCATTGCCTCCATTACTTTCCATCAGCTCAGTCATTGAAGTATGAAGATGATTAAACCATGTTTCACTGCTTCAACACAACACAAACAAGAGCAGCATTGGAGTCCAGAGGGTTGCTGGTTTAAACCCTAGATAAAAATCTCCTGCAGCCTGAAGCCTAGTTTACACTGTGCGATAACCATCGCGATACTGCTGTCATAGACAGAAGTTGCAAATCATAAAAGAAGTCTTTGATCGTGAGTTAAAATCATACAGTAAGTCTGCTTAGGCTGATGTTGTGATGCTATTGCCCTTGCTCTTCAAGCTATCCTTACTGTTGTGCATTTGGGCAAGGTTCTCAGGTTTATAATTTTTTATATCTCAGGTTCATACTCAGGTTTATACTATTAAAGTTATGTGTTTGAAGGAATAGTTTGTCAAAAAATAGAACTTTCACAAGTTAGCCAAAACATTTTCTTAAGTTTACTTCTTTAGTTTTACACTGGAACTATATGGCTAAAGTCACTGAAACAGAAGTGTATACCTCAGCAGTTAGCATTGCATTTGCCTTGTTTTTGTGGTTTCTGACACAGTATGATATGGGGTGGGGGTAGAAAAGCTTGATACTGTATAATATTGCAATGGTTTGGCGTAAAAATTGTTCCAAAACATGGAACATCAACATTTTATTATTTATCAATATTTTAATGGGTATTAAGTCTACATGTGCTCTTCTTGTAGAATTTCTGGAGAGAGCGTTCAGGCAGGAATCAGAAATACTGCAATATACACTAATCTGACATTTACATGCCAGAGGGAATCACTCTGTATGAAAGCATTTGTTATTTGTAAGGATAAAGCTTGTTTTGAATGTTACTTATGCATGTAAATGTTAGGATACTGTGTAAGAAAACATCTTAAAATGTCTGTCTATTTCACAGTTCTGTTTAGCTTCAATGAAAAAGATTGAAGTGAGATGAACAAAGAATAAACATTTAATAAGTTTTCTTTCTTACTATAATTTGCAGTTGAAAGTACTAATTTGCATTATATCACAATACACGTGATTGCATATCACAAATCTGTAAGAATTGTGGTAGAATCGTATCTTAGCTGAAGTAACACAGTAATGTTGTGGGGTCTGTAGTGACTCCTAACACTGTCATTATTGATATCGGCAGTATTTAAAAAGTGGATATTGCCCAGCTGTACTATAGAATGTTGATACCCTTGATAAAGATGAGTGAGAAGGCTATAAAATCTCTTTGTAATCTTAAATTCAACCAAAACTTCCCAACCTACAAGTAAATCTACCCCAAGTAGAGGCTTACATGTGTGTGTCACTAGGCCCTAACCTGACACCCAAAAGTGATTGGGTCATACAGTTGTTTTATAAAGCAAATCAAGGAGCTTACTGTATGGCAATAGAGATGATTAAATGAAATGCAGAAATGTCTTTGGTTTTTGTGAAGGTTTCTTTTTACTATTTGCGGAAATAATCCATTCCTAATAATGAGTGGAATGTCTAATGCCTTTTGGGTTTAGGAGGGTAAAATCCCTCAACCATGGCCTTAGGAGCCCCTACACACACACACATCGCCTCATGTTTCCCCTTTTCTCTCGCTGAGTTTTCCATAACAGGCCATTCCTGGCGGAACTCTTTCTCTATTGTTCTACGGCAACATCAACCAAAGACCCTTAAAGTCCAATGCCAACAAACAAAATGCAGTCCAAGTCTTATGCACATAACGTGGCAATATGGAAAATATTGGAAAGGACAATCAGTGTGATGTAGATGCACAGGCCGATGTTGGCCAGAATGAGGCTTAATTTAAACCCTACCTTCCTATTTTTCCAAAATATGTGTAAACACTCGTTTGTTTTAACATGTTTGTCTACCGATCTCTTACTAGGGGGCCCGGCTATTGCATTGAGCTGCCGCCAAGGTACACTAACCAGAACATCTCACACACACACAGCCAGTTCTATGCACACATATACACACAGATGCACAAGTATACACATTCACACACACATTAGATGCAGCCAGCCCTATGCACTAGTGGTGTAACAATTCATTCCTCCCAATGCAACTGCATTGATTTATAAAAAGAAAAAAAAATACTGAATCATTTGCAGCAGTCAGAAGTCGATTTTAAATGCTTGGTTTCAAACAGTTTATTAACCGACTTGTTTAAATGTGTGATTAGGGTTATTTGTGTATTTTATTGTTATCAGGAAAAATTGCTTTTCTAGCAATCTTGGATATTGTCAGTACTTAAGGAAAACTGACCAGCTACACGTATTTTTTCTGTATCACCCACGCCTATGTGTGATATTAAAACAAATACATGTGATACCTCTGACTTCAGTGCCAACACAAGTGGCTCAGGCAGTGTTTACAAGCTAACTGTGGACATAGCTGACGAAGGAAACGCAGAGCAAGAGATTTACAAACCACTGCCCACACATTGCTGATAATAAATAAACCAAACAAGAGCTGTCTAGTTTGGCTTTAATGTGATTTTTATCAGGTTTTGGCAAGCCAATGCTCTGTTTGTGAATGCTCTGTAGTGTAATTAACTTAAAATCACATAATGCTGATACACATAAAAGGAAGAGTAGTTAACTTAATAAGTAGTTAATCACTTTGATAGCATGGTATTGCAGAGTTAACATGAAGAATGAAGAAGGTGCAGCTGCAAAAAATCAAACAAAGCTCTTTATTTGGAAAAAGACATGGTGTGCAAGCTGTAGTGAACATGAACTCCCAAAACAGCTTGATCTGAGGGCGCCACCACAATGTCTTTGCTGAGAGAGATTGGAAAGATTTTGTGAAAAACCATTCTCTAAACAGTTTTTGCCTGAGAAATATTAGGGGAATGTTAGCTAAATATTAGTTCATAATATTATATCAATACTTTTAATTTGTTACAGTAAATCATAAAGGTGCTTGAATTGCTGACTTGTTTAGTGAATCAAATCAAATTTGCTTTTTCTTAATTTACAAAAATCGTTTCTGAATCGACTCGACAACCAGTAAATCATGAATCAAATCCATGTGCTGTCATTTCAAAGAGCAACATTTATTAGCATTCAAACTTTTCAAGTATTTAAACTACCTTTGGACCAAAAGATTTTTAATATGTGCGTTTAACAATAATTTGACAAAGAAAATGGTCAAATGATTTATTTAGGTAAGATAAAGCTGAGCACTGAAGCTAAATGTAGCCATTTCCAATATGTACTTTTAACAATAGTTTGGAAAAGAAAATCATGAAAAAAACATTATTTGGGTATGGCATGCTCTCCATACAAGTATTTAGGTATTCTTTCTTACATAACTGAAATATAATAGTGAAATTATTCTCAAAAATTCTAAAGAAAGGCATATTTTGATAAATACACTGATACAATACATGCATCAGGCATAGCCAACTCTATACACACATATGCTCAGACATGAGACACAGACATCACATAAAACACACGATGAGGTCAGCCTCCAATGTTTAACCAGAGTGCTCAGACTCCAAACAAATTGTGCAGACATTAAGCTACCTTTGAACCATCCAAACACACCATCTGTCGGAACACTGGTCTCAGCTTGAGCCAGCCACCGTGAACTTTCTGCCTTTCTTTGCATAATCATGCGAATGTGTGCTTGTGTTTCCAATATACACACACTGGTCACTTCATTAGGTACACCTACTTTGTATCTGCACTTTTTGTCCATTTTATCAGGTCCACTTACCATATAGGTGCACTTTGTAATTCTGCCATAACAGATTGTAGTCCATCTGTTTGTCAGCGTAATTTGTTATCTCCTCTGTTTAGCATGTTCACCAATAATCAAGACCCCCATAGGCTACTGAAGATGTAACATGGATCATTCTCAGCACTGCAGTGACACTGACATGGTAATGACATTAGACACAGCAGTGCTACTGTTAGCTGGATACAGCGATGACACAGAGTTGTTTAAAAACTGTAATTGTAAACTATAAAAATGCACCTATATGGTAAGCTAACTGGATAAAATAGACATTGAGTGTATACACAAGGAAATTAATTAGGTGGCCAGTGAGCATGTATGTGGCAGTTTGGCAGTACCATTATATCATGGTTATCATTTATACATGCATATGATTTTATGATTTTTTATGATATGAAGAGTCAGTGTCACTAGTTTTACAAAATGAAACTCTCATGCCTGCCTCTCATTTGAAATGACATATGAATATGGTGAACTGTGTCTGTATTTGTGTGTTTATCGTGTTTGTGATTTAGCATAAATCATTTGCTGTATGATGTGTTTGTTCTGTTTAATGGTCATGTTAGCAATTTTTTTTTTCAGGGAACAAAACTGAAATTGTGTCTATAAACATTTCTGTGGGGTAAAGTCAGGCTCTTTTGTAAATGAGAAACTGTGTCCCTGTGGGATTTTTCTGACAGTAACAAAAGGCTTTGTGTCAGTGAAGCTTGAAACTATCCTTGATACAGTGCACATTAATACTGTAAGGTGATTATTATTCACAGGTAATGAGGCTTGCTCTCTGTTTCTCTCTCTCTCTCTCTCACTCTCACCCTCTCCCTCTCTTGGTCTCTTTGTCTCTCTGTCTTTCTGTCTTTTTTTGTATCTGTCTGTGTTGCTGAAGCAATATTGATTGGGACTGGTTTTCATAATAATGAGGACTGATATCCATAATATCCATAATCATCAGACTTTGTCCTGAAATGATGAAACATTCTCATTCTCTCTCTCTCTCTCTCTCTCTCTCTCTCTCTCTCTCTCTCTCTCTCTCTCTCTCTCTCTCTCTCTCTCCCCGCAGCGTGGGTTGGGGCCTTGGCAATGGGGATGATTTTTTTCTGCTCTCCCGTGGTCAGCATGTTCACGGATCATTTCGGCTGCAGGAAGACGGCCGTGGGTGGAGCCTTTGTCGCCTTCCTCGGACTCCTGAGCAGCTCGTTCGCCACGTAATGCACCTTCATCATCGTCATCTTCCTCCCCTCCTTCCACAAAGTCTCACAGTTCTGCTAAAGTGCTTCTCCCCCCCCTCCCTTTCTCACTCTCTCTCTCACTCTCTCCCTGACTCACACACACTCTCGCACATACAAACCTGTCACTGCCTTGCTATACTTGTCTCTAAGGCAGCTGGGAGCTGACAGGTAAGAGATAAAAGTCCAAATTTTATGCGCATCTTTTTAAGGCTGTCATTCATAACACTAAGTGGTGTTTTCTTTGTACATGTGCACACACAAACACAAACTCACTCCCTCCACCTTTCAGATCTGAGGCCAACAATAATTCTTATTTTTGCACAGGACATATTTTGTTCTTTGTTAGCTCACACAAAGAATCTTTTGGTTAACAACTAATTTCTTGTGTATTTAATTGAATGTGCACATCCTTAAATAGCCATAATGCCTGTGGCTGTGACCAAATGTGTTTAAGTGTGTGTGGAGCAAAGGACTAGGACAGGAAAATACATTAACGTATGGCATTTTTGTCCGTAAAATGAACCATATGTTTTTGTGTGTGTGTGCTTCTGTCCCCCTGTGCCCCTGATAGCCAGCAGGCCTTTGGCTTTCGTGAACAGAGCTCCTATTTATTCTGTAACCATGACCTTCTGAGTGAGCTAAAGACACAATAGCTGCTTCATCGCAGACATATGAAACCCATGTTAACCCATTTGAATATTTATGTTGAATAGAGATGCCACTATCGATTGTGCACGTGTCCAAAGTTTGTGGACACCTGCTTATCCAGCGTTTCTTCTAAAATAAAGGGTATTTTTAGGGAGTTTGCCCCACGCACCCTTTGCTGCAGCCTTTTCTGGGAAGACTTTATGCTTGGTTTTGGAAAATTGTGGCAAGGATTTGAGTTCCTAGTATGGAACTGAACACCTGTGCCAGTAGTGGATTATTGGTGGGCAATATGATGATATTTATCTTTATCATGATAAACTGCCTCACAGTAGGCTTTTCCAAGCAAAAGATTACTGAAGAACTGCATGTTTTATTGCAAAGAGAGCATAATTAATCCTATGTAGCTGGATTTAGTCCAGCGCAATATCTAAAAAATTGAATAGAAATCATTGCACTTATAGCTTTTATTGTATTTTTAAACCTAGCCTTTTTTGTAACTTATTCCACCTCAGAAATCTCCAAACATATTGTGTAGCATGAACTTATCTTCACCTATAGTGATGTTACATTTTTGCCATATTGCTCATTGATTCATATTGCTCATTACAGTGGGTGCACCCTAAATTAGTTGCATTCACTAAATAAGAACAGTGTTTGAATGTTTTTGGGCATATGTTTTATTAGTAATTGAGTGATCTTCTGATTATTTTGAGGATTATTCCGCTAATCAGATTTTTTTTAGAAGGCCAAACAATAATGCATAGCCTTTCAAGAGTTCTGAGGATAATTAATTGGAAATGAATGGCGTGCCCGAATTGCCTGTAATTTTATGATCATTGATGTGCTACCAGGGTTTTACTCATGCAGGGTCATATTTTTGTTTTCTATATTTATTTATGTATTTATTATTTTAAAAGATATTTTACGCTTGACCAGATTTTTATACAAAAAAAGAGAGGTAGATACATTGAGGCAACTTGAGATTGCCATGTCATTGAGAAGGCTTTTTTTTCTAGTCGCATGATTATGAAAGTCCAATAGTGAGCACTACAGCAAAACATTCTAATGGCGAGAGAAAAGTGTTTAATCTTCTGAGCATTTTGGCTTAGTATGGATCTGCCTAAAGAGTGTAAATGAATGAAAATGAGGAGAGAATAACACTCCTGCCTGACACAAACAAAGCAACAGGATACACACGCATATGCTACCTCAGACATTCCAAATGGGACATTGATAATAGCCAACAATGGATGCACCTTAGAGAGTCTGAACAGGAGAGCCTGTTCTAACCATTCTAATTATGAGACAAAGACACTAGAAAACAGAGAGTTACAGAGACACTAGAAAACAACAGCCTGCATTGGACAGACATACACATGGACAATGGGATACACATACGAGGATGGAAACCAACTGAGTAAACTGATTCTCTGTATTTAAGCTAGTGTCATCTCTCTCACACACACACACACACACACACACGCACACACACACATGCGCACAGACACATACACATCTCCAATTTGCCAAATATAAGTTTATTTTTTTATTGCACACTTACGGCTGGGAGCTGTGTCCATTTGCACAGTGTTCAATCAAACAGTACTGAGATGACATTGATATTCATCGATATTCAGTACCAGTCTCTGGCATTAAGCACTTTATAGAAACTACAATGTGTTACAGGTGTATAATGATTTGGGCATGCAGTTTGTATGATGTTAATTTGTGTGCAGAACTTTTCATTACTCATTAGCTATATTAGCCTTGTAGCTCCAGAGCAAAGGCAAAGAAGCAAACTTTGGACACCAAACATCTCTTATTTGATCAAGAATTTTTTTCTCATCTACCTCCTTAATAGCCAAGTTAGGTAGGGACTAGGGATATAAGTGATTAACCAGTTAATCGTTAACTAACAAATAAACAAATGTTCGAGCAGTGCTATTGTTAAGAAAATGTTAAATAAATTTTATTTCATTTCCGTAAAGCAACAATTCCTATTTTAATAGATAGTTTCATCTTTTAAGAGGAGGAATGTTTTTGAATAGTACACAAGTCCTACTAAAAGTGCAGCTAATGTAGTGGTGTTTAATACCACTTCTTCAGAGGACAATAGCACAACTAACACAATGTACCATATCGAAAGCAAACATTCACAAGCATTATGATAAACAACAGTTTTGTCTAAGTTCTCCAAGAGAAAGTGCATGGTGATATGAGGAAACTACACATGGGTGTGAAAAATTATAGAAAAGAATGTGGTGAACAGTGACTGCTTTGTCCCTCAGCATTGGACATATCAATAATTTTGTCAACTTTTTAGTTTTTGGTCATCAATAATAATAATAATAATAATAATAATTATTATTATTATTATTATTATTATTAACATATTATAGTTGTCACCCCCTATGTTCAAAACAAGGTTCTCATATAGGACATGTTTAATATGGGATGTTTACTGCATATACACACTTGGGCCTGGCCCTACTTATCAGTTCTACATGCCATGGCCCATACAAGGAACAATTGTTAAGGTCTTGATGCATTTACACAAAATTCAGCTGATGTGTGCACTTATAAGCATGTCCACATTTCAAGTATTTTACAGTGGCTTCGAACATGGTTCAGCTAATCAGATTTCAGAACTGAAACTATCCATTTTATAACTGACATTTTAATGGGCCGCATTCTTGATTTTAGGCATGCTGGTTAATGATTAATCTCCAACTAATAGCAGAAGAATTTGCATAAATTCCAACCCTAGGTATGTCAAAGGTCAAAGCAGACACTTGATTTTACAAACTATGTCTTTATCTTCTCAGGACCTTGGGTCTACGTTACTTTACCTATGGCATCCTGTTTGGCTGTGGATCCTCCTTTGCCTTCCAGCCATCTTTGGTTATTTTGGGGCACTACTTCCGCCAGCGCCTGGGCCTGGCTAATGGAGTGGTCACCGCCGCCAGTAGCATCTTCTCCATGGGACTGCCTGTTCTACTCAAGAAGGTTGTGGGGCCACTTGGCCTTTGCAGAACCTTTCAGATCCTGAGCCTGTTCATGCTGGTTCAGTCGGTGCTGGCCCTCACTTTCAGGCCACTGCTCCCCAGTGGCACATGCCCAATGCCAGGTATGGGGCCAGATGGAGGGCCCCCGGGGCAGCCTGGAGCGCCAGGCTCTGTCTCTGGGAGCCGGTGGCAAAGGAGCCTGCTGAAGATAAGAAAGTATTTTAACGTGCGTGTCTTTAGCGTGGTGACCTATCGTGTGTGGGCATTCGGGGTGGCCACGGCAGTGCTGGGATACTTCGTACCCTATATTCACCTGGTGAGACATTGAGCTTTTTTTTTTTCTTGGTTAATTCATTAATGTTAATCAGAATGTAGTGATACAGACCAAAATTTAGAATTATGTGTTTTTGTATTAAAGTTTACTCTACTGCTATTTAAAGCAAAGCAATGTACTTTAGTCCGTTTTTATAGATAGAAGTATGTCATACAGTGTCAGGAACCGCAAATATATTTGAGATTACATAACAACTTGGTGCAGTTTGAGGCAAATGTGTGATGACACCAGCCATCTTGGCTGGTCAACTGCATTTGAACTAAGTTTAATTTTTGATTTGGTTTTTCACTTGGATTAATCTGAAAAATATTTGCTTTGATAAAGGCTCAAAGGTTATTCAGTTACTACTTTTAAACAGGTATCCAAGTTATGTAGTTATGAGAGTGAGGAATTGCGATGTGGGCTGCACATTGTGACTCTTGCAGTATTATGAGTTTGTTAAATTTTTAGATAACTCTCAGTAGATCCCTTCTGAATTAATAAATTGAAAACAAATTAATGTTTATCATACAACCCCATTACAAAAAAGTTGGGACGCTGTGCAAAATGTAAATAAAAACAAAATGTGATGACGTGCAAATCATTTAAACTCTATATTAAATTGAAAATTGTACAAAGACAACATATCCAATGTCAAAACTGAGAAATTTTATTGTTTATGCCGATTTAGAATTTGATGTCAACAACACGTTCCAAAAAGTTGGGACGGGGCAACAAAAGGCTGGCAAAGTTGTGTAATGGTAAAAAAACACCTGGTGGTTGATTGGCAACAGGTCGGTACCATGATTGGGTATAAAAAGAGCATGAGTCTGAGAGGCTGAGTCTTTCAGAAGTAAGGATGGGGAGGGGTCCACCGCTCTATAAAAGACTGCATGGGCAAATAGTGCAACAATTCAAGAATAATGCTTCTCAACATGAAATAGCAAAGGACTTTTGCTTTTTATCATCTACGGTACATAATAACATTAAAAGATTCAGAGAATCTGGAGAAATTTCTGTATGCAAGGGACAAGGCCAAAAACTAGTACTGGCTGGCCATGATCTTTGGGCCCTCAGGCGGCACTGCATGGGCTCAGAAACACTTCTGAAAACCACTGTCTGTGAAAACAGTTTGTCACTGCATCCACAATTGCAGTTAAAACGTCAAAACCATGTATTAACAGGATCCAGAAATGCTGCCGTCTTCTCTGGGCCCGAGCTCATTTAAAATGGACTGAGGGGAAGTGAAAAAAATGTCCTGTGGTCCAACAAATCAACATTTTAAATTTTCCAATTTTTTGGAAATCTTGGACACTGTGTCCTCCGTGGTAAAGACCACTCATCTTGTTATTAGTGCACAGTTCAAAAGCCAGCATTCATGATGGTATAGGGGTGCATTAGTGCAAATGGCATGGGTGACTCACACATCTGTGAAGGCACCATTAAAGCTGAACTGTTGAGAAGCCGAAATTCTATATCAACAAGAATGGGTAAAACATTTCCCTTTCAAAACTACGGCAGTTGGTCTCCTCAGTTCCCAAACGCTTACAGAGTGTTGTTAAAAGAAGAGGTGATGAAACGAAGGGGTAAACATGCCTCCGTCCCAACTTTTTTGGAACATGTTGTCGGCATCAAATTCAAAATGGGCATATATTTAACAAATGAGTTCATTAGAATATGAAAATCAAATTCTGACTTTTCAATTCTGGTTATCGCTGTTGGTCTTAACTATAGCTATGACTATAACTTTTCTCCCTTCTGAAAAGTACATTATAATACATTTCTGTGAATTCTAAATGTAAGGGTGATACAAAATGTAATTTTGTAACTAGGCTTGGGTTGGCTGTTGTCAGCATCAGCTTCAGTTTGTTAAGACCTCTGTCCCTGTTTGACCACTGTGGTTCCTCTCCTCACTCTAACTCACTTATACATCTGTATGCTTTTAGAATGTATGTGCTAACTTCTCTGTTTAAAATGCTGCCCCACTCCTCTCGCTCCTTCAAGAAAACAGACCCATCAGATGCATTAAACTTATGCTCTGTGCACCATATAGACCATACTGTACATGTATACATTTAGCTCTATCACATAAACAATTTGCTGAAATGTAAACAGGCTTTCCTAAAACCAATTTAAATTGTCACTGTGTTTGTACTATAGATCTTGCACTCTAAGTTCAGAGGTAAAACCCTATACTTCAGCTGCCTTTCTTTTAAACACAGCCCAACCAAAATGATCTTTCTCTAAATGGAAAACCAATCTGTTATAGCTTCATGTATGTGAAATGAAACATCTTTTGGGACTTTGTTCTTGTCTGAAAGGCAGCGTCATCTTTGTTAAACATCAGTTCACTAGAGCACTAGTTGTAAAGAAACTTCTATCAAAATAACTGCAGCACATTTATGCAGTGTTGCTTCTACACTGAGCTGCCACAATTACGTCCACATACTTTGTACTTAAACTCATTAGACATTTTATTAGAAACTCCATAAAGATGCACTTTGTAAGTTTAGAATTATTGACTGTAGTCCATCTGTTGCTGCACAGTTTAGCAGCCCCTCTTCCTCGTCCATCAGTGGAAAGGATCCACCATAGAATCGCCACTGACCAGATATTATTTGGGTTATGTACCACTAGGGCAGTGCGTTCCAGTCTTAGCTGCAAAGGGCTGGTGTGACTTTTCCTTCCAAACAAGAAGGAACTTACCTGATGTCAACATGAAAGCAAAGACAAATCTGGGACATTTTAGGGCAATTTTGAAATACCGAACAGATGCATTTTTAGGTCCCAAAAAGAGGACGTGTCCTGGAAAAAGAGGACGTATGGTCACTCAATGTACCACTCTCAGTACAGCAGTGACATTGACATGGTACTGGCATGGTAATATGTGTAGGGTTGGTATGAGTGTATCGGGTACAGCAATGTTCCTCTGGGTTTTTAGCACTGTGTATACTTGCCATTTTATTAGAAACTCCTGTCTTGTAGCTCCCCTTTGCTGATGACAGTTTATTTATACTTATCCGTTTCATGCATCTCATATCCTGATAATGTCCATATAAGATATTTCCACATTCAGTTTACATTTGTCAACATAAATGCTTCTCGAATAGACAGACAGAAATGTGTTTCTGATTCCTGATGTCCACTTACAGTCTAATAGCGATTTTCCACTAGATGGTGCAGTACAGAATGGTATGGTTACAAATCTATCAACTTTAAGTATTCAATCAGGGTACAGATAGTTCTGGATTTTGGATTAGTCCCTGTAACGTGCTGTAGTACACCATAAAGTGCGAAAGTGCTATGTAAGGTGAAGAGCTTTTTTTGTTGTTGTCAGTGATTCAATTCTGTAGTGAAATAGCTATATGGCTGTGTAGAAGATAGAAGATAACTAGTTTCCAAACACAGCATTTAACATTTGAGTTAATATGTGATAGAATATTTTTATCTCCGCCAGGCCATTAATCAAATTTCTGTATAGACGTAGCTCCAGCAGCTGTCAGCTATCAATTTCTGACCACAGAGCCACTCTTGACTGAATGTTTTTCTGGGGTGAGCCACAATCTTACACACTGATGTATGCAAAAACCCAGCAACACTGCTGTGCCTAATACATGAATACCATACTGCTACCATATAGGCCTGGGCAGTAGGGTGATGTAATCAAAGGCAGTAGTGCACTGTTGGAAAAGAGAACTAATAGAGAACTCGAGAGGACTGAATTACAAAGCTCAATACCAAGAATGTAAAGAGAAAAACAGAAATCAGTGATTTGCACATCCACTTTGATTTTTTAAACAAAAACAGTACACATATGCCTGTCATTTAGTTATTTAAGTTGGTCACAGTTATTCAAGCTGACTGCAATCATTTTCCACAGTTGTTAGATTTCATAGTCATACTGTGCTGCAACTTATTAACAGAGAATTGGATGTGCTGGATTGAGGTAGATAAATGTAAAAAAAGTAAGCAATAAATGCATTCACTGAGACACATCATGGGACTTAAGAAAACAAACAAACAAACAAAAAACTTCTATGATGGTGCTCTAACATGTTAAGAGGGCAGCGCTGAATAATGTTAGCTTATTTGTTAGCTATGTAGCTAATTCTAACATTTTTTATATGTTTGCTGGCAGAACGAGTGCTTATTTTTTACTCTTGTGATAAACGTGGTTTTGCTTAACTCTACACGTAATTCTGCGTAACTGTAGACATTTTTGTGAGTGTGTATGCACAACAGTGTGTGTGCAGTATTGATTCAACAGTACAAACAGTATTAGCCACTAAATAAACATAGCTAGTAAGATGGCTAATAAGCCAATTTGGCTGCTTTAGGCTTGTTTTATGAGACAATTAAAAAAGAATCATTAATTGCAGTTATTTATATGACGTTTAATTACCGACAGCCATAAGTACAAAGACATTTAATGTTTTGTCTTTTGCAAATGCACACTAATTATGAGATTGATAGTCTGCAGCACGTTCCAAAAAGGTGCACCTAAATGATGATGAAGCTTCTAAACTAGCAACTCTCTTTATATGCAAGAGGTGTGTTTGTCTTGAATGGATGAATGAATGGCTGACAGTGGGATGTGTGTCTGGAAATGTACCTATGAGTGTGTACTCTAGGTATGTGTGTGTGGGTGGGTGTTGCGGATATGAAATGGAAGGTGTGCATGTATTCCGGATGTGTGTGTATGTGTTGGAAGTGTGTGTATGTGGTCCGGATGTGTTTTGGGGGTGTGTATGTACTCCGGATATGTGTGCATGAGTGTGTATTGTGCATATGAGTGTGTGTGTGTGTGTGTGTGTGTGTGTGTGTGTGTGTGTGTGTGTGTGTGTTGGGGGGGGTGTGTACCGTATGTTCCTTTGGATCGTCTGAAGTATGAAGTCGTAAAGATGAGAAGCTGCGCCCCCCTTCTTTCTCCCACCTACAGTCATGTTTTTGAAGACTTTGGATCAAATGTAAACATTACCCCCGGCTTTTGTTGCACATTTATGTGTGTGTGTAAGGAAGAGTTTGTGAGTGTTCAGTGCCAGTAAGCTTGCTCCCCAAGAGCCAAAACCTTTCTTTCTGTGGCATTTCTGAGCATGTGAATGAATAGCCATCGTGGCCTCTGACATACTTTGCCACTCTTTCAGAGTAGGCAAACTGCTGTACTCAATGCCTGGCGACCCCAAGCTCAGGACACACTTCTGAAGAATGTTTACTCTCCTGCACCCCCCCCACTCCCACCCGTTCCCTCCCTCCTTCCTTCCACCCCCAGTCGTTTCCGAGAAACAAAGGAGAGGAACAGTGGAATTGGTTTGACTTATAGCCCCCTCTTGTGCTTTCTCAACAGTGACACGCATTACTACCTTGATTATATGTATATATTCGTGAAAGCTCTTTTCAGGGACTTGGAGGTGGAGAGCAGCCAGCACACACTGAGCCTTATTCACGTTAACAGTAGGCAGTACCAATAAAAATCTCCCCTGCTCAGCAAAGCTGAGGTCATACATTTGTAATGCTGAAATGTGTGTGTGTGTTTGTATGTGTCTGCCCATATGTCACAGATCAAGTTTGTTAAGGAGCAGTTTGAGGAGACACAAAGGGAGTGGGTGCTGTTGGTCTGTTTGGGGGCTTCTTCAGGAGTTGGACGTCTGCTCTTTGGAAAAGTGGGCGATCTCATCCCTGGAGTGGCAAAAATTTACATGCAGGTACAGAAGCGCAGCCAGACTGTTCTTTTATTACATATTTTATAGTAGGGATGCACCGATATGGGAATTATGGACCAGTGCTGAAAGCCAGTATTTTTCATGTGCATACATATACATCTGGCGATGATGTATGATTCATGCATTGAGATTTAGTGACCGATACAGATTTTAAGGAGCTAAACAGAGCCCAAGTTTTAGTGAAACAGTTCTTTATTGCCAGGTGTTAGCAGTGAACTAACAAATCTGATTTATTTCTCATTTGTGTTTTGCTGGCTTCTCTTAATTAGCTCTTATCTTTCTTGTTTTCAGTCAGTTGAAAGTATTTTTTCACATGTTGAATGTTATAATTGAGTACATTTTGCCTGCTTTTTTTATTATTTGAACTATGATGGTGTTTTGTGTTCATAATGTCTGTTTGTTACAGTATACAGCAAGCCGCTAAAAATTTGTGCTTTGTAGTTTTCACCAATACTAATAAATCCCATATGTAACAGTTGGGCCCTGTTGGGTAGAGATGTGTTGTAAAACGTTAGTTAAAGTTTCTCTGCTTTCCAGCTCTTAAAATTGAGTTTGTGAATGTAGTTTACCTGTCTCAGTGTAGGTTTTGATACAGTTCCAGGGGCCACAATAAGGACAATGACCATAGAAGCTCATTGATATACGCTGATATAAGCATTTATCCAATAACCTTGAATGTTCCAGCCGTACTTGTTACTTAAAATATTAGGGAACAAGCGTTCTGTGAGCTAAGCTTTCACAAATAGCGAACATTTCAGGGACATATAACTGAATCAGTAGTGCCTACATGTCCTGGTACAAGGGTTTTTTGATGACTAGGAAGAATACAAAGAGTATAAAGTCTTTTTCAAGATGTGTGGATACAATATAGTCAGACTTTTCCGTTAATGATATTAAGTATTAGTCACTTAAGTCATGTACATGCTTTGGTTTGCTTCTTTACCTTGTTCTTTGTGTGTTTGCATGTTTAGGTAGCCTCGTTTATGGTCCTGGGTCTGATGTCAATGATGATCCCGCTGTGTAGAGTATTCGAGGGGCTGGTGGTGGTGTGTGTGTTCATGGGGCTGTGTGATGGCTGTTTCATTACCATCATGGCTCCCATCGCCTTCGAGTTGGTAGGGCCCATGCAGGCATCCCAGGCTATTGGCTACCTACTGGGCCTCATGGCTGTACCAATGACGGCAGGCCCTCCTATTGCAGGTGAGTATCTTACATGATGCAGTGCTGATTCTGCTGAATGAAAGCAGAAGAAATGCGTGTGTGTGTGTGTGTGTAAGTGGCCAACTGTTGATAGCTGTATGCAATGATTTATTTATCTATTTATTTATTTTAGTTATTGTTGGCCATATATTGTTTGATACATGGCCAACAATAACAGCAGAGCCTTTTGAGAGTGACTCAACTAAGACTACAGGGTGAGATCTCTAAATACACCTCAGGACAAAGACACAGCATGAATATTTGTTCAGCTTCCACAGTCCCCCTTTGGTGTTCTTCTAAATTGTTTTAGATGGCACAAATATTAGGCAATGTTTATGCTTCTTAGTTGAGTAGCTTCCTTTTCAAACAGGCCAGATTCCGTGATCTGAAGGCTGAGAGCCTGTAGCTACAGTGTTGGGGTAGTTACTCTAATCCATTACAATGACTAACTACTCCTCTCAAACTATAATGTGATTATCTACTTATTACTTCCTGGAAAAAGTAATCTCCTTCATTACATTATTTCCAAGTTACTTCCAAGAAACCTGTACAAAGCTCTACCATTTGGTAAGTACAGGAGAAAGCCCAATAGTCCTTTCAGAATCACAGTTACAAAGAAAAAGCAAACTACAGTAAATGTAATTTAGCGAGCATGTCACAGTCTCTACCTTTACTCTGAACAAGATACAACCATTTATACTTAATTCAAACCAATTATTTGCCTAATGTTATTTGAAAACCTAGAAACTTGCTTGTAGAAACAGTTCAAAAACAACCGCTTCAAAATAAAATCTTCATGAATAAAATGCTTACAGAGCTGTTGCAAACCCAAATTAAGTTAGACCTGGGAAGGTGAGGTTGAGTCACTCTCTTTTTCGTCACATTATCCTCATTGTTTCATAACAGCATTACTAGATGCTTTGTGAAATTGCATGTCAAGGTTTTGGCAGTGAAACACTGTTGCCAACATTCACGCTGCACTGGTCATATTTACAGTCAAAGCTGCACAGTCAGCTATTGCAGCTTGTAGCATGCACATGCAAACTACATACAAGGATAGGCACAGAGAATATATATAGACAGTGTGTTTTTTAAATGCGTTGCACATAATTAATGTTGTCAAGAGTAGCACAAATACTGTAATTCTATAACTGTAATGGGGTTCTAAGAATGTCAACTGTTATGCATTCATTAATTACAAAAAAGAGTAATTAAATTACTTTAACTTTGTAATGCATTACCCTGAACATTGATAGCTGATTAGTCAGCACACTAGAGAGAGTCCTAGTGAATATTTTATTGCACATAGACACCAGACAGGTGACAAGCATGTAGATGATAAACAGGATTAACAGATCCAATGTCACAACACAAGATATATACATACATCATCCAAACCACTTATCCTTCTGGGTTGCGGTGGGGTGCTGGAGCCTATCCCAGCTGTCATTGGGCGGAAGGCAGGATACACCCTGGACAGGTTGCCAGTCCATTGCAGGGCAGACAGACATACACATTCACACACACACTCACACCTAGGGGCAATTTTAGCATGTCCAATTGGCCTGACTGCATGCTTTTAGACTGTGGGAGGAAACTGACACAGACACAGGGAGAACATGCAAACTCCACACAGAATTGACCCTGGTCGCCTGGCCGGGAATTGAACCCAGGCCATTCTCGCTGTGAGGCGACAGCGCTACCCACTGCGCCACCATGCTGCCCCACAACACAAGATGTTGTAGCCAAATCTACCTAAGCAATTCTCATTACAGTGGAAGAAGTCAAACCCTAACTGGAGAGAATTGGAAGATTTGTAATTTCTTCAAAAGTGTAGGTAGATTATCAGGAATGTAAGTACAGCAGTCTTGTCAAATTAGGCATCTAACCTCTTTTGCAGCACTCAAAGAATTTGATCTATAGTCATTATTTCATACATAGGGAAAATAGAAAATATTTTTTCAGCCTTAGTGATTCCTCTTTTTATTCTCAGCTTGAGTAAAGAGTGTCTCCTGGTAAGGATTCCATAAGTCACAGAAGATGGAAGGTAGATAGGAATAAGCTTGCTCTCCACAAATGTTTTAGAAATCCAGTAAGTATGTGTTATCATCAGCCGTCACACTTCTGTGTGAAAAAAGTGTATCGATTGGTCTCAACTGGTACACAGTTTTGCCAGTGGGACTTGTTATTGGTCTTTCCAGTGAAGAGCTAGTGCAGATGAACAGTTGAAAGGTTTTATCATAGATCAGTCATCAGCTTCCACAATGTGGTTAGGAGAGTTGTTTGATGGAGTTATCTGGGTGTCCTTGATTGGTAAAATTCACAGTTCTTGGCATGAGGTGAGTTTTTGACAGATGCATATTTATTCAATGTGTAGATGCGCTGGTAGGAAGTTATATGGGCATGCCCATCAGAATCTTGTGGGATGGAGACCTTTTTTTCTGTTGGGGGCAGAACACATTACCATTGAATTGCTGAACAGGGCATCGGTCCAGGACCTCAGGGATTTCTGCAGTCTTGTTGTTCAGTTCACCTCCAAATTTTTTTCCAGTATGCCAGAACATTGTGGTTAAAAAGCAGTGCGAAACCTTGGTTTGATTGAGAATTAGTTTTTTTGGTCAGAATCCTTGCAGGGAAAAAAGTCCCCTAATCATTGTTTAGTTCTGGCATAACTCTTAAGTCAGTGGTTGCCAGTCTTTGCTGGCTCAGTTGGTGAGATCATCATCCTTACCCCTATAAAATGTTAAGGTGAATGAGTAATAAATAAAACTATAAAAAGTATGTTAGATTTCCTCCTGGAGCAGTTCACATTGGAGTGGTCCTTTGTGTATGTTTAACTTTCCTTTTCATTCAGGTTAATTTTGCTGGAATATCTCTGTTCCTTTGTTTTTTAGTCACCACCTACCCATCCATCTGCCCTTACATTAAAATATAAACATACTTTTTATAGGCAAAAACTTCCAGACATTGACTCACAAATTCCAAATAAGAAGGCTGAGACCTTTCTGAATATTTCCTTTTGTCTTCTATAAGGATTTTCTAAGCAGCCAAATGTTTCATTATAAACAATTAAACAAAATAAAATGTTTAATAACATGCTGTGTTTTAGATCTTTTCCCCCTCTATGGTGTTTCATAATAAATTTGCTAAAAAAAAATGTGACTTGAATCGTACCATTGAAGTCTTACACAGTGCCACCCCTAGTTGCCACACTCTGTCAGGATGCAATTTACAACTGCCCAGGCCTGTTTGTCTTGGCTTTCAGTGCTAACTTGAAAGGCAGCAACACCATTAAGAAAGGGAAGTTCAGGCCAGACAGGAGTGGAGAGAAACGGACAGGGTTGTCGGAGAGGCAAAAGGGCTATAGCCCTGGCAGCTAAGTTTGCTCTGGTGTAGCTATAGAACTTAAGAAAATGTCCCTACTTTTGGGGTCTTTGGTTCTTTAGGAAACCAAATATAATCCTTTGATGGCACCTTTTTAGCACCTTTATTTTTAAGAGTTCTGCTGTTTGGAAAAGTAAAACTCACAATCACATTCAGCAGGGAGAAGAGTAGCAGGAACGAAAGTGGTATTTTTGGGTGAGCAAAACGTTTTTTTTTTTGTAATGACAGTACAGTTTAATAAGTTTGTGATGGTGATATAAGACTTGTTGCGGATACTTAAAAGTTAAGTATATGCAGTTTAGGTTAGGGTCTCTGTGGAGGTTCAGGAGTGTTTGACTGTAGAGTATAAAGGAAGGAGTTCATTGTCTACAAAGGCCTGTCATGTCTAGGAATGCTTTAATGTATTCTGTGTAGTAGGAACAGGGGCATTTTGGAAGGCAGATAAACACTTGTCTTTGAGTCGTTGCTAGTCAGGAGAAATGATGTGACTTAAATTGTGAAACTGTCTGGAGTCTCTTTTTGGAGGTGATGTGGCCTATATAACTCAAAGAGAAACTGACAGTGTTGTGGGGGAGGCAAAAGGGCTACAGCCCTGGCAGCCGAGTTTGCTCTGCTGTAGCTATGGGAGCAGAGGAATTAGTGTGGGCTCTGCATTCTATGACAGCTATTTCTGAAGGCCATTTGCATCTGTTAGTGCTTTGACATCATCGTAATTAGAAATAAGAGAACCAGAGAAGGTGAGAAAACCATGAAGAGACCAGAATACACAATTAATCAGGAACTGTACTTAGAGCCAAGGTACATAGCTAGGCTACAATGACTGCTACCCACTTAGCTGACCAAAGTTGCCTTAAGATAGCGAAGGAAAGAGAGACAAGTGATTGCAGCAAAACATTTATGAATGAGGATTCATCAATGCAGACAGTGAGATCAGGTTTAGGGAGAGGTGTAATAAAAATCACACTTTTTTAAAATAAGGGTTCCCAAATTGTGCTTGGCTCAGATATTCAGTTCTAGAAAGCACCTTGAATTGGTATAGAACTTGAGGAAATATCCCTTCTTTTGGGGTCTTTGATGGCACCTTTTTAGCACTTTTATTTTGAAGAGTTCTGCTGTTTGGAAAGGTGAAAATCACAATCACATTCAGTAGGGAGAAGAGTAGTAGGAACAAAAGTAGTAATTTTGGGTGAGCAAAACTTTTTTGCTAATGACTGCAGTTTAAAGAGTTTGTGATAGTGACATAAGGCTGGTTGCAGATACTGAAAAGTTAAGTGTCTGCAGTTAGGGTTAGGGCCTCTGTGGAAGTTCAGGAGTGTTTGACTGTAGAGTATAAAGGAAGGAATTCATTGTCTACAAAGGTCATGTCTAGGAATGCTTTAATTTATTCTGTGTAGTAGGAACAGGGGCATTTTGGATGACAGACAAACACTTGTCTTTGCTAGTCGGGAAAAATGATGTGACTTAACACATTGTGAAACTATCTGGAGTCTCTTTTTGGAGGTAATGTGGCCTATATAACTCAAAAACAGAAAACCATTTGGCTTCAAGGAGTATGCAAGCTAGCATGGTGTTAGGATTACAGCAGCGTACCTCATTTATATCTTGGAAATATTGAACAAAACACCACTCATCTGGATTTTATTTCCTATTGAGGAGATGGACATTTTACATGGGCTATCAGGAGAATTACTGTATCTTTCTTTTTCTAGAGGCAGCAACAGGAGCAATATCAGTTAGTGCTTTCCCAGATAGAGTCTGAGAGAATACTGCCTTATCTTGGCTTAATTGGTTTAGCAGATACTATGGAATAGATGCCCAGATCCAGATAGTTGGGGCTGCAGCCTCAGTAACCTGAAGGAGAAGTTATTCTGATGAATACATAATTGTTGTACTCATCTTATTTAGGAAATCACAACTGTACCTTTACCAGAGAGAGGTCTTTAAACAGTAAGTTTAGAAAAAGAAAGTAGTGCCTGTGTCAACAGGCAACATCTGTCCGCTGTCCTTCTTGTTTACAGGGATGTGACAAGTATATAACTGTCCATTTACAAGTTTCATTCATTCAGCTAAGGAATGTTACTGTCTCAATCAAATGTACCATCTGGAGGGAACTGTTAAAATGATAATTTGGCAGTTTTACACATTAAAGTCTAGATCCGCATCACTATAGAAACATTGCTGACTGAAAAAAAACATGATTTTAATAAAAAATAAATTGGGTATACCAAAAAGAAACTCATAAAGCAGGATCTCTTATCCTCTGTTGCAGTGTTGGCTGGCAGAAGAAATGCTGCTTTTTAAATTGTATGCAAAGTATTTACACGATGGTATCCACCGAACTGCTGGATTAGGGCCCTCCAGGCCTAGAACTGGACACCTTTGGCCTGTAGCATTTTCTCTTTTGGCTGGTAACATTTTTATTAAAGCGATCTTCACAGTAACCTTCAACCTCAGCCTATTATTTAGCTCTACTTAGAAGCATTTCACTGTGCATTAGGTGCAGACAAAATGGAAGCCGATTTAGAGCAAATCCTGCTGTGGTAAACACAAGGCACAGACATAGCTGGCATGTGTTACTCTTTTATGACATTTTAACATGCAATATCTGTGAGCCTGATTTTACTATTTGATTTTTTTCGATTTGCATGACTATTTGAAGGAGGTGCTTAAAGCAGGTAACTTGTACATAAATGCATGCTTCTTTTACAGAGTAACTACCCTGCACGTTTTTTGTTAAAGTACCTGCTGCTTCTTGCCTGAAGTAGTATTTTTTCCACATTCTCAAAACTAATAAAAAAATAATAAAAAGTCAATATCAAACAGTCAAAATGAAAACTCCATAGCTAAAGGGAATGGTAAACAGATGTTGCTGCTCTCTTGATATAGACACTATATTGCTTTTTTTATCTTTAAAATGTGTTTTTCAGCTCAGATCATGTGCTTAAGTGTGTGTGAGTGTGTGTGTGTGTGTGTGTGTGTGTGTGAGAGAGAGAGAGAGAGAGAGAGAGAGAGAGTGAGAGTGTAGGTCTCCCCCTTGTCCACAGACTGTGTTATATTTTGTTCATACTTGGCTGTCTGACTGTATGATGTATTTCTTGCTGCTAAAGAATTCTTGTGTGTGTGTGTGTGTGTGTGTGTGTATGTGTGTGTGTGTTACATATATCTTCTCCCACATACACTGGTAGTGAGAGAAGATGAAAGCATACTTAAGATTAATTAAACACAAATCAGATTTTGAGTAAATATGTTGAACAAGAATTTGATTCAGTCTGCCAGCTGGCTGCACTTAAGTCCTACAGAATATGAGAAAACACACACATACATGGTGCATAGGTTTTCCATTTTCTAGGTTCATTGGGCCGGATATAGATTTATATTTGAGGGTAAATTCCAAAGCTCTCACTTTCACTTTATTTTGCTGAGCCAGTCATTGTAGCCTTCAGATGTACCCCATACATAATGCTTTTTCTTTGTCCTCACTGACCCAGGGTTGCACTTATGCTGGAGGTGCTTTTGGAATATCACATATTTTTGACAGATTTGGAACATTAGATCGTTCTTTTGTAAAATTACTTCTTAGAACTTCGTCTCCGGTTCCAGGACATTAGGATAATCTATGGGGTGTCAAGAGCTCTTCAGAGAATTATTCAAAGCGCTGCCTCCCTAGAAGGTTTGTTTTTGGTTTAGATTGGCTCTCATTTGATTTTTGTTCCAGATACTTGGCAACCTTCTGAAACCCCTGCTATTCTCTCAACACATTTGTTCACATTAATGCTCCGTCTCCTGCTGTGTACAGTATATAGCACAGTTTTAATGGGCCATTCGACATTTGGCCGAGTTTGTATTTTTAAACTGCAAATATAAATTTTATTCATGTTAACCCTTTTATTACTTGCATTTGCTATACTACAGTGCTCCTGCAGATATCTAAAAAATCTTGAAATAGATTATAAAATGTTATACTGTCTAAAATTGTCTTATTTTCTTGCTGTTATAGGTGTTTAATTCTGGTTGACTTTCAACATTTTGCACGTTTAATGTCAGTTAATATGTTGGAATATAATAAAATAATTTAATGCAAGCCAGATTTTAGATTATGTATGTTATTGTGTGGTATTATTTTTCCTTTGTTTAGCTCCTAAAAAGGAATTAAAATGTATGTTTTTATCTGCACTTCCAACAGCATTTCGAAGAGCTGTGACTAAGAAATTCTTCTTATTACAATACGCCACTCTTTTATCATTGGCAATAGCTGTGACTTTTAATGGTTAAAGTAGGTTGACTAGGCAGCCTAATTAACCATCGTACAGCACTCCATCCACCACCACTTTCCTCACAGTCTGGTCTGGGCTGGTTTTTTCCTCCTGAGGTCTTGCAGAACACAAAGAAAGACTACATGATGTTTTAATGACAAATTGAATTGAATTGAACGGAGTGGCATTTTAACTGGCCTCTAACACCCGTGGCTCAGGGCAGAGCAGGTTTGCACTTTCAAAACGTGTTCATAGTTAGATTGTTTAAAGATGACCAGTGTTCAGTGTATTTATTTTGTGTAAAGTTCACATTTCTGCAGAAGTTCTCTATGTGGACTGGCCACAGCTAGACTTCATAATGAGTCAGCATATTAAAGGAAAAGACATATTTAAGGCATTTCATCTAGTGACAGTTTTAGCATCATTTCTGTGTTAAACTTTCTTTCTCCGACCCCCATACCCGCCCCGCCCCCGCTCCTACAGGTCTTCTTCATGACTACTTTGGGAACTACCATGTGGCATTCTATCTGGCCGGCGTGCCCCCGATTGTTGGGGGTATTGTGCTGTTTTTTGTCCCATTGGTGTACAAGCGTCTTCAGAAACGCCAGGCCGAAGCCTCTGACCCCAGCACAGACCGGATGTTGAAAAGCTGCTCCAATGGAGACATGCTGCCTGGATACACGGACATGGAGACACACATATAAGCCTCGTACCTACACAAAGTCATAGGTGGGTACCCCAAACCAGTACATGAGTAAAAGTACTGTTGCTTCTATGAAACAAAGCAAAAGTATCTTTCCAGATAACAAGTACTAAGTTCCCTGTGTTCCCTATAAAACTAAAAGACAATTTTATTAAACTTCTTAGTGCATCCAGCATCTGTCATCTTACAAAGTGAAGTTTGTCAGGCTCTGTTCGTCTCATCTGCTGTAGTTTTGATCTAAGCTAAAATCTTCAGAAGTCAGAAGCTTGACCAGTTTCAAAGCAGTACACAGTCAACATATTGAAATTAAATAGAAAAAAGGTTTTAGTAACTAAATATTAATGACTGAAATGTAGCTGAGTAATCTGCTATAATAGAGCAATGAGCAATGAATGATAATAGGGTTTTAGTATTCAAAGGATCTGGATCAGTGCTGATGGCCAGTCAGGGGTGAGATTCTCAAAACATTATATAACATCACAAAACTAGAATGTTATATGTTATGTAACATAATATTTTGTTTGCAAATTATTGGGACTGGGCAAATTTTGCACCAGCGAAACACACACACACACACACACATCTTCTAAGCCGCTTATCCTCCTGAGTCGCGGGGGGAGCTGGAGCCTATCCCAGCAGTCACTGGGTGGAAGGCAGGATACATCCTGGACAGGTCACCAGCAAAACAGTGCCACATTTTAAAAAGGCTATGAAACAGTGCAATTTATATATTTTTTAAAATCTACAGTGACAAAATCTGTTTAAGGAGAAACAGGAGTTAAAACAGTTGTTAAAAATAAATTAACACATTAAGAAGCCGTCATAATAGGCGTACAGAGTTTATGCAGTTATTGTAGACTGGCTGTAATATACAGTGCCTCTATAATTGGTATAAATATGTTTTTTTATGAAAGACGTCAGACCATTTTAATTGCTTTTTTGCTCCCTGTAATAATGCATTTTAAAGCATGTCATTAACTCACAGCATAAGCTAGCTAGGCTGCAGTATAGCCTCCACATGGTGGGGTCAGTGTTATAACAAAGCATCCCCAAATAAACCAAGTCCAAATGTAATTTTTTTGAAAGTCTTAAAGACAATATTTATGAAAACCTTTCTTAGTGTCATGTAAATAAAATATTTGTAAATTTTATGTTGCATTGTATTTCTTGTATTTAAAAAGCTGGTCTGGTTAAAAGAAAACATATAATTATATTGAATTAATTGTGTTTTGCATTGATTCACCAGGTTATTATTGACTGTTACAGCTACCCTCTCCACCTTTGGGATAAATTTTAACATTTGCAGTTGTGCCACTTTCAGATTAATTGTTCACACACAGTAGATGATGGAAACAAAGTTTACATTTTCATTTGTAGGAGAGATGTGTAGGTTGGTTGCATAAAAATCTTGATCAAATATTTTTGCAATTATTTTGCACAAAACAAACTGGCAGGTTGTTTCCCATTCTCCCCTTCTAATGATAGCTATGATAAACTCAAAAAGCCTGTCGTGATTTGATTTATTGTAACATACACTATTGTAACATACACCAAAACTCCCTCTTATTAATGAATTGCATAATCTCTATAGAAAAGCATTGACCATTAGAATGGGACACTTTGGAGCAGCCGTGCATGAGTCTAAGGTCACCATGCCCAATGCCAAACGGGGTATAAAGACCCCCAGCATTGGGCTGTGGAGCACTGAAACTGCGTTCTCTGGAGTGATAGAGCTCCATCCAGGACCTTAGGCATGAGTCGGAGTGATGTTTGTGATCCAGAACTAATCATCCAACATTAGAACCTGACCTTACTAATGCTCTTGTGGCTAAATGAAATAAAATCCTCCTGTTCCAATATCTAGTGTAGAGCCTTCCGAGAAGAGCAGAAGCTGTTACTGCACCAAAGAGGGGACAAAATTCTTTTTTAATGCTTTTGATTTTGAAAGAAACATTGGATGAGCAGGTGTCCAGAAATCTTTGGCCATATTGTCCTCCTCTTACAGACGTCAGTAGTCAGGCTTAAACTTTATTGTTTCTTCTTTCTCACTGTCTATTCTGTCCCTTTATCTGCATCTCTCACGCACTATATTTCCTTCTTTCCATCTCTATTACTTTCACTCTCTGTCTCCGCAGGAATTCACAGTTCACTCCAGCACTGCTCATTGTGTGGATGTGGATGTTTTCATGTTTGTGCATATGTGTGGGTGAGCTTCATTGATTTCCCTCCTCAGATCAAATCAAACCCCCTCTCTTCCTACTTTTCATACAGGAGAAGAGACCTGCACATCTATGAAAACCTCCCCAGCCTCCCGTCACCCCCCCCACCCCATTCTTCCCCCAAGCGTTGAGGAATTCTGGAAAGAAGGCTCGGAAACCCCTCCATCTTCTGTGGTGTTTCCAGAAGGGAGCTGAGTGATATTCGCCTACACATTACAAGGTTTGAGGCCCAAAAAAAAACATTTGCAAACAGCAAAAAGGAGCATGCATCACACAGTCCGAAACACTATGAGTGGTTTTAAATCAGAGGAAAATTAAAGTCCTCCATGATTTTACCCAAGAGAGTCTAAAGTCTTCACAGCATGGAAAGAAGGGGTTGCTGTGTAGAAGAAGAGATTTTCATTCCCCCAAAACACTTTTTGAAGATATTTCCCTGTTGTTTTATTTCTTTGTTTAAAACTTAAATTTTTATGCTTACATATAGGTTTTTATTTTTTTTACAAAATGTGGTATCTCCTCCCCAGTCGTGGCTTTTCTGTTCCTTCTGTTGTTCATGCAGTTCTCTGCTATGGACTTTGATGACCTCTCATGTGGTTTTGGGATTATATGAAACACCATTGCCGCTACAGTACATGCCACATTCAAATGTTGCAGTAAAACCGCTTTTTTAACCCCTTAAACTGCCGCATTCTCATAACTCTCATAACTTAAAAATTAGTTACAGAACAATAGTTTCACAGTAATGAATAGTAAATACGTAGTAATAAATCATAAGTTTACTACTTAATAAAAAGTTTAAGGGGTTAAATGCGGACTTGGAAAGATGATTTTGTAAGCTAATTCTTCACAGATCGCTGCAAACCTCAGCCAAGGGTTTTACTATGCAGTAACGAAACTCTGTCAAACTGTGCTGATTTCTTTAGAGCCAGTCAGTCAATTGCAACACTTGGTGCCAGTGAGCTATGATAATATAGCCTTAATTCATTCTTTATGGGACCTACCATATTTCATAACCTGTTCAGTGATTAGGTTAAGCAACAACAGTCATAGCCTTCATAGGACAAAACAATCACTACAGATGCATCAATTGTGAGATTTATATGATTTTATTTGATTTCTTTGTATCTGATTTTATCAGCTTTTGTTTATTTGTGTGCAAACAAATAACAACAGCTTATATATTGCAGTAGGAGCAAAGCCTTCTTAATGATTTTGAGGGTTCCTGCTCATTCTTGATCAGTAAAAAGCAAATAGAGCTGCTTTTTTATGTTTGGGGAGCAAAAAATGAAATTTATTTTAATGGAGCAACAGAGGAGGAGTTGTGTTGTGTCTTGCAAAGACAATCAGAGAGAGAGATTAAATGGGTCTGTGTATGAATGGAGATTCTGGAGATAGACAGTGATTCATTCATGACTCAGCAAAAATGTACGGGACATGGATTGCTTCTGGCATTGTGATATTTTAGTGTTACACAGTGTCCAAAGTGGACAGTTTGTAGGTCAGTATTTATGCTGTTCGAGAAATGATTTTGGAATTTCTTTAAGATATTTTGTTGTGCCCTCTTTTAGGTTCTTTTTTTCTGTTCATGCTTGGCTTCTATTTTATTTTCATCACACAAATTAAATGTGAAATTCTTTCATTGGTCAGAAAAACATCAGAAATATAACTTTCTTTCACTTCCTCATTAATCACATACAGTGTATTATCATTGGCCATTATAATCAGTGTCAGTAAATGTCACTGAGTTCTTTCATTCAGATCTTCAACATTACTGGCCACTGTGATGTTGTCATGGACACCTGTCTGTTAGGCTGGCTTTACAAAGTGAAACTTCTGTGCAACTTCAATCACTTGAAACCTGCATGAAACTAAATTTAAACGAAAGTTTCTGGCAACGCACTTGAAACCTCTTTGACACTCACAACAGTTGCAACTGTCTCAAATTTGTGAAAGTTTCATTAAAACAGCTAGTCACACCAGTAATGTAAAATGTGATCACGTCAGACCAGGCATTTGCACAAACAGACTGCCAGGAGGGCTTCAGCCCCTGCCCTTTTGCCCTCACACTGCACAAGTGCCCTCTTGTTCACTATGTATACTAATTGTATTTTATAATGCTTTCATTCTGTTCAGGATCCTTTTCACTGAGGCACAGCTGGCTTAGCCTCATCCCGAGAATAGAGCTAGTGCATCTGTCTGGGTTCCATGTGCTTCCACATGCTCTCGAGTGCTCCCCCCTCAAATTTCACCACAGTCAATTCTAAACTTTCATGGATGTATGCATCACTGCAGCACTGAAAATCCTGCTGATAAAGCACCAAAAATATCTGCTGGTAGTCTGATATATCATGATCTACATAGCTAGGTTAATAAATTCCCTTCTCTTGACATAAATTTAATTTAAAGATGCAAATTTAGACTAACACATTGCAGATCATTTTTTATAGCCAGAATGATACAATATATAAAAAAAATACTAGCTATGAATGGAATAATCAAATGTTTTGTGTGACTTTGATCATTTTTGAATTGCTGTGTGTAACTGTTGTATAGAAATGATGTTTCATGCAGTTCACAGTCTGCAACTAGTTGCATGAAGTTTTCACCATGTGAAGGGAGCCTTAGAGCTATGCATCCTTAATTAGGATTGGTCTGCTGCATACACGCCACCTGATCACTGGTATAAGGATAAAAAGCCAAGAGTCAGTCACGATTTAAACCAAATTGCCTCATTAGCTCCTCTTCAGGTTTATCCATGAAACAGTGCTGATGTTCCTCAACTACTGGAACCACATACCTCTAGAGTAGACTCTTAAAAGGAAACTGGTTGATAAAATGACGCAGAATGTTTGAAGACTGATTGAGTTTTGATCTATTGGTTGAAGGACACTGTAGTGTTACACTGAAAAAGTGAATTGGTGAAAAAAAGGCTTTTTAATAGGAACAACACAAGGACACACATACCTCAGAAATCTACTCGCTAAGATATATACTGTCAGTTTTACAATCGTTGTGCACTTCAGTCCTTTTGCATTTACCCGCTAGGATTCAGTAATTGCAGTAAGTGTGAAGAGTTCGAGCCTCAAAGCAAATGATCCTCAGTACAAGCATCTCTTTCTCTTTCTTTCCCTGTGTTCTCTTTTTCTCTCTGCCTGCATTGAACTGTTATCAGTGGGGAAACCCTGAACAGATCCTCTTTTAAACAGTCTCTCTTTTTACTGCGAGTAGAAATAGATGTAGCCATAGTGACAGATCTGTTGTTTATGGTGCCATTTGTGTCTGGTGTGTGTGTGTGTGTGTATGTATGTATGAGTGATCCCCAATGGCAGTTTCCACTTTGTAATCTTTCAGAACCTCAGGGATTGCGCTTTGAGAGTTTTTTCTTCATGGTTTGTCACATTCCATCCTCACTGGGCCAGTTTTGAAGCGTTCATTTCAGCACACGCTATGATGGTACAGCTGCTTAGTTGCAGACTGGCATTTGAATGTTGAAAGTGATGACCTGTAGATGGATCAGAGTCATTTTGTGCAAGATTTCAGCACCATTTCTTTCCTTGTGCCATAACATCAGCTGAGCGTTTCCCAGCCCTTGTAATTACCGTCTCTTGTCGCCATAGTTACAGAATGTTGCAACCTAGCTCGGTTTGTCTTCCATAATTTAACATAATGTAGTTTCCGCCAAACCGTATGTGTGTGGATGTAGTTGTGTGTCTGTGTGCGTGCACCTAATTTCATTTACTTATCCTCTGTCTTTCGTGATTTGTTCCACATTCTGCAGATCATAAGCATATGACGTTTTCATTTTCAAAGTGTGACAGTGCGTTCAATTCCATAATGAAACTTTACTCTCTTCTTACCTAATATGACTGGCTTATTTGTTTCCTATTTCAATCAGTCAAGCTTTGCAAATCAACATACAGTGTGATGCATAAGTCAGAGAGCACCCTTTATTTATTTCCAGTCTAAATGTCCATTAAGTACAAGTTATTCATTTTTCAGGAGATGTTTCTGAGGTTAGTAGGCTTGCCACAATTGTTACAATACTGCCTTATCACAGTGATTTGTGCTGACAGCAATTATTTTCCTCACTTGTTGGCTTTCACAGTCACGTGTTTATTAACATATCATAGGTCTTACGATCACGACAAAGGTTCTAACGTTTAACTGGTGCTATACAACCATTAGAGTGTGACGAGTAATGTTTATTTGGTGTTTGTTAACACCTTTAGAGGGCGCGCACACACACACACACACACACACACATTATCTAAGCCGCTTATCCTTCTGGTTCGAGGGGGGTGCTGTAGCCTATCCCAGTGGTCAGTGGGCGGAAGGTAGGAAACAGGTCGCCAGTCCATCGCAGGGCCCTTTAGGGGGCAGCGATGAGTAATGTTTGTTTATTTGATGTTTGTTAATAATGCCTTTAGAGGGCAGCAAGGAATAATGTTTGTTTGTTAGTTGTTTATCACCTTTACAGGGCAGTGGTGAGTAATGTTTGTTTATTTGATGTTTGTTAATAATGCCTTTAGGAAGGAATAATGTTTGTTTGTTAGTTGTTTATCACCTTTACAGGGCAGCAGTGAGTAATGTTTGTTTATTTGATGTTTATTATCGCTTTAGAGGGTGGCAGTGAGTAATGTTTGTTTACTTGATGTTTGTTAATAACATCTTCAGAGGGCAGCAGTGAGCAATGTTTGTTTATTTAATGTTTGTCAATAACACCTACAGAGGGTAGCATTGATTAATGTTAGTTTATGTCAGCGCGAGTTGTTTATGTCATCAGTTGGGAGCTTCTGAGTATCGGCATCTAGAAAACATGATAGCAAATCAGTGTGGCCACTTTTAGCATGTACTTTATTAGTTATTACTTGTGTAGGAAATGGGAAAATCGAAGGAAAATAAGTGAAAAAACATGAGTTTTCAAAATTATAGTTGAAAAAAGAAGGAGAAAATAAATGGGACTCCTAACAAACCAACTACTATCAGATAAACAGTACCTAAAGAATGGAAAAGGTGGACATTAAATACTGAACAGTTTAAAATTATATTTAGTTGTTGAGGCTTTCCTGTAATTTTGTTCTAAATATGTTTGTTTGCTTTTTTATGCTGTAAACTGAACCGCTTGTAGTTAATGGTGTTCTTTTTAATTGAATTAAATAAATTAAGGGTGGTCTCTGACTTTTGCACAGTGCCTGTTATATATTTTTTATATTAGCCAACAGCTGATGTTACTACACCGTAAGTTACGGTGTCCCTGTCTTTCTGTCTCTGTGAATATTTTTGTTAAAGCTGATTACATTAAGGACTGTATATTATTCATTTTAAAGGAATGGCTTGCCCAGATGTGCTAATGTGGCTAACCATAAATGAAACCCTATAGCAGGACATTAGCAGGACGTAATTTGCATAGTGCTAATTAGTCGCTGTTTCATTAATTGCTAGCAACGTTAGCCTTTTGACTGAACTATTGTTATAACTGTTTTCCCCTTTCTCAACATTACAATAAGTAGTTTATTAAAATATGTAAGAATTAGCCAGTGCACTGTAAGCTCCTCAGCATGTCTCATACTCAAAGATCAATAAACAATTGCAGTATCATTCTGTGAAGCTCAGTGGTCACAAAACATCTTAAGTCGATTTTGGCCTTACGTTTTCTCTTTACCTTAACTTTAGGAAATCTGTAGTAAAATATTAAACAAATCATAATGGTAGACTGAGTTTTAGACCCAGTGTTGCAAATTTCATTTAAACTTGCAGCTTTAAAGATGAATACTTAAGATGTAGATGCAAGTGGCCACAGGAGTCAAAAACGGCTTTAAATCTCACCTTCACAACCGTGCCTGCTTTAAAAAGGGCCAGTAGATACTCACCATTTTGTCAGTTTTTTTTTTTTGTCACTTTTTTGATTAGTAATTAATTGATTATTGATTATGTTTCCACAGATCTGATGGACTTTATTATGTACTGGTAAAACAGAGTGTACGGAGTGTGGAATCACATATATGCGTAAATATATAAAGATAACATTTTATTTTTTGTAATCTTGTACATATTTTAATCACCCTCTATACTAAACCTATAGCTTTATGAGCACGCCGAGTTTTGCGAGTTGCTTTGTAAACCTGTTCTTTTCTAATGAAAATATATGACAGACTGTAATGATGAACTTATAAGACTGAACACACTTTTTGTAGAGCATAAGCCAAGTTTATTGATGTGTCTAAAGATGCTCCAAGAGTGACCCTTTAGTGTATAAAAGGGCCATATGAACCTTTGTTGTTTATGACTTTACCACTTAGTGATGATGTTTTTAGCAACACTTTATATAAAGAGTCACACCGTCATCCCTGTATAACAACTATTTACATACAGTACTTAAGCCTGCGAATACATTACATATGTAAGTAAACTCATATGACTGGCTGGTAATCTGGACATATATCCCCTCAGAAAGATTATTACACAGACACAGAAATCAAGGGATGTGTTTTGTTTCTTTAAAGCAATATTTACAGGGGGATAAAATCTACATGATATAAAACACAATTATTACATCACACAAGTGCAGAATAAAATAAATGATTAATCACAGCATGTCCGTTCAAAGTGTCGCTTTTGTTTTCTTTTTCAGTCTCTCTGCATGTCTCCTTTTAAAGCCTCCACCTTTCTTTCCTTTTATTTTTGTTTCTGCTTATTTGTCATTCCTCTTATGATTAAATCAAAGTGAATTAAAAGGATTAAAGTTATGCTGCTAGATACATGGAATTTGTGTTCATGTGAATAGTACTTTTGATTACCTGTAATAAACATAATTTGTTTTTTTGTTTGTTTTATATGTTAAACCAACGTCACACCACACCACTCATTTTTCCTGTAAATGATCTGTACTTTAATTTTTTTTCCAATTTGCATTTGTGTTACAATAATGTATGACGCTGATAACTATTTTGTCATGTCAATAAAATGATATTTCTCTTATATGCGTCTCTGAAAGCTTCATTAAACCAAATGGGTCATTTTTCTGTTATTTTTAGTTATTTGTTTTTGACTGTTACAGTATGATGATATGTCTAATATAAAATAATAGCACTAATATAAAATAATAGCACTAATCTATAAAGGCCAAAAGCCATTTAAATATATTCAAATAATGTATGTAAAAAATATATATATTCACCACTGCAACTATGCTTATCCCTATTTTGTCAGCTAGTTACTGCTGAGTTATGATTTTATCAGTTATTGATTAAGACTGAATGATTGATCACTACAGGTTTGGTGATATAAACAGTCAAAAGGAAAACAAGCATTCAGATGCATTTTTGTTTCATAATGTACATCCACCACATATGTCCACTCAGATTTACACAAATAATGTCTTTTGACTTTGTATTTATAAATATGAACGGACAAGAATGTGTTGATAAGCATGAACAAAGATATGAAAGAACGTAAATGGTAGGTAAAATGTATTCAGACACCACATGTTAGTAACATTAAAACTTTCCTGTGTTGTTGGCAGTTACAGATTTGGGATTTTGCCAGTCTACAGTAAGAAGTAATTAGCTCTTTTGTAGCACTGAGGGTCAGTTTTGGCCCATTCTAATTTGGAATCAGTTCCTCAAGGTTACAAGGGTCCCTTTCTTTGACTTCTCAAAATTCTCTATACATTTTCAGTGAAAGATTGAAGATTGGCTAGACCAAGCAAAAGCACCTTCACGTTTTTTTTAGAAACCAGCCTTTAGTTAAGCTGGCTGTATGGGTTCATTGTCTTACTTGACACTTTCTTGGCGGATGAGGTTAAGTTCTCCTTTAATATGTCCCTTCGCTCTATTCATGTTTTAATCAGTGATGTGTAATGCCACGGTGCCATTTGCATATGATGCTCCCACCTTCATACTTCACTGTGGGTATGGTATTCTTGGGATCAGATGTGCAGCTCGTCTTTCTCCAAACATAGTTCACTATTTTTTGTTTCATCTGACCAGAGTATATTGTTCAAAACAGTTTGATTTGTCTGAATTTGTTGTTACTGCTGCTTTCAGATCGCCCTGCAACTTATTTCAAGCGACTGCTGGTTTCCCTCTGCAGCTTTTTTCATTCAAGTATTGTTTAATAATGTGATCCCTGAGAACTTTAGGATGCTCCTTCACCTTCACCATGATTGACAATGTCTTGTAAAATGACCCTGGGTGCAATTTGTTTGAGAACATTTTGATGTTTATTTTATATATATATAAAACCTAAAAAAAACACCTAAAAGCCCCCAGCCTTCCCATTCCTGGATTGGTTAGCATACCAGCCAATCCCAGCGCAGGAGGCAGGACACTCCCAGCCAATCTTATGGACACAAAGGTGCATCTTTTTACAGTTGGCTCCACCTGCTCTCAGTAAGCAGCCACAGCAGTGTGCAATGTCACTAGTGCGCCTCAAGAGGGAGCTACTGCTCTCTTATATACACAATCAGGCAAAAACGGTCACACTAAAATGCACTTCAGCTCAGATGCTGTGTATGTACACGTTTCTCTTTGACAAGATGTAGATATGTATGCACCATATCAGCAACAACTGCACAGTTTTATGTCTGTGATTATAATCATGTAATGCTTTAATACATGAAGTTTAATGCCACAAAGGGGGGACAGAAAATATTTACTGTCAAACTTTCTGCATAATTCAGTTGATAAAGTCATTCTGAGTGGTTGTTGGATGTAAAAAGGTTCATTTTAGGGAAACTTACCAACTCTTTAGAAGGGTGGTGATAGGAACCAGTGGTTGCCTATAACGTCTACAACAATGTCTACAACACAAACACAGTCATTTATTTACTATCCAAAACCATCATTGTCAACCTACATGTGTCTTGAGTTTTTATGCCAAGTATATGTTTAATGCCAAAATCTTGTCTCAAAATTATCATAAAACAGTGTCTCAGGCCTCAAGCAGTGTAATCATTTCATGTAATAACTTCCTGTAGGGGAGCTGTTAGAGACATTAAGCTATTCAGACGTCTAGTTCCTTTCACCACCACTGTGAATAATTCTGACTCAGTAGGTTTCTCTAGAATGACTCATTTAATATCAAAACACTCTGAATGACTTTGTTTACATCTTAACCATATAATTATAAAGTTGAGTTACAGCACTTTTTAATTTAGGATATTTTATTATTTTATTAAAACATTCAAGCAATTTCATATCACTGTAAACTGAAATTACCCACAGCAATGCTCATTTGTTTTACTGCGATACCAGTACAGCTCATTAATCACAGCACCAAACACCACAACATCAAAAAGGAAAACTTTTTTTATACATCTATTAAAATATTTACTTTATACTTATATATACTTGATCTATAT